TAATTTGAATACTTTTTGTGACAAGACAGGTGAATTTATTTAACTATCCATTACATAGTTAATGAAACACAACTGGGTTACTGCTTATTCTGAAAATGCCAAAAATAAAAAAAAAACTGTTTCCATTGTGCTTTTAAAGACACATACCTCTAAAAGAGATTTAATAAGGTTATCTTTAAAAGCAGGCAACATGAGTTATGGGGCCTTACAACCTCACACAAAGGTAAACAGAGCCATATACTGTTGGTCACATGGCCACAAGACCTGAAGCCAAGGGAATGTACAGAATGTTTAAGGCGACTATAACTGTATTTCAGGGCAGGAACGTCTATTTGACCCCGCACCTTCTCTCCTCTCAGCAAGCCTGTGTGAACAGGCAAGGGAAGGGTAAGGCGGAGCCAGAAGGGGAGGCAGATCTAACCTAGAGACAGCAGAGCTGAGCCGGACAGAATGCTCTAGGATACAGCCTCCCACCTGCACCACCCTATCTAGGGCTAGTGAAGGAAAGCCAGGCTTATATTGCCAGACAAGCCAAGAAATCCAAACACAGCGATGAATGACTAAGGGCTGGAGGCGGGGTGAAGAATCGGCTAACACTCCCACGCCACCTCCAGACAGGGGACCACGCTTGAGGCCTGCGCCCGCCCTACACCCTACGACCCGCAGCCTTGACCCAGAGAGTTCGAACCAGCCAGATGCAGGGCGCATGCGCACCATGCGGCTCCGCACGCAGCAGGGCCACCGCCCACCCCTCGGCCGACCCCCCGGCACAGACTACGCCAGGCCCCACGCCGCCTCACGCCGGAGAAAGGCCTTGGAGCCCCGCAGCCACGGGCGCAGCCCCCGGGGCCCTGGACGCGGGCATCACCTGGATCCGGACCTTCGGGCCAACACCTCCCGAGGACGTGCAAGCACCCAAAATCTGAAAACGTTTCTTCAGATCAGGGCGCCGCCAATGTCCACCGAACTTGCTACAGTTTAAGCTCAGCGCCTTCCTGGTTTCAGTACCAGGCAGCCGCAGCCGAGCTATCGAGTGCATCGATGGAGGCTGCCAGGCGAGAGGAATGCCGAGGGAGTAGATTGTCACGCCGCCAATTTTTTGTTTGGCGTTTGTTATGCGTGCTTGTTTAATTTGATTTTCTAGTTCCCAAAAAGCAATAAAGGTGGGACTGGAGGATGTTTTTCCCTTAGTAATCATCGTTATCGTCACATATAATCAGCAAACAAATCTGTATCGCAGGAAGTCATGTTTAAGACACCCACACAGCAAAATTGGTTAGCTCACGCTGGGGGAGGGGGAAACTCGCCCAACAATAATAAATCATGGGGTTGTGTCTGTATAGAGTCGTGTGTGATTAAATTGTAATGATTTATTTGCAAAAATGCATTAAAACTCGGTGTTTCTTCTGCCCTGAAGGTGAAGGCACTCACAGGTTGGGTACAAATTAGTTTCTCAGATTAAAGTAACTGATTCCGGGAGGAATAGGAGAAAGTTGCCCAAGGCAGAGATAGGTTTCTTCTGAAAAGGAAAACAAATTTATAGAGTTTTCTTTTATTTCAGTCAATAGAAATTAAAGAGATTAGCATTCTCTGTAACTCATAGTGGATTACTTATTTTTTCTTGGAAGAAAATTATTTTTTCCTTATTTACTATACGTAAGTAAGGCTAAAGAGGTAAGTAAACTGTTGGGGTTCGTTTGGGTAACTGAGGACCAAATCATTCACAACTGCTAGAATATACATTTAAGATGGCAAAAATCATCTCTGCAATATATTTGTCATCAATGACTGTACCTTAACTATCCAGTTTTGAGAGTCCATTTTAAAACTTAACTGCAACACTACGTGTTTATTTTAAACAATTGAAGAGCTGGGGGAACCCTCGGATCCGGAGTTTTGTTGGAACCTGCCTTTCTGTCTTCAGGCTCTCAGCTTAGCTTTACTCTCAATGCTTTTGACCAAAACTATATTTTGAAATGTCCTGTTTTGGGAAAAAAGTTGCTCTTGTTGAAACAACATCATTAGAACTTTGTGAGCATTTATTAGTATATGACTTTATCCAAAACCTTGGATTTTTTTTTCAATTAAACTTAGCCAAGTGTGAATCCATGCTCAAGCAGTAAAGATTTCTCACAGTTCCATCTAATATCAACACTACTATTTCTGAATATACAATGACCCAATAAACTGAGATCATGGGGGAAATTTATTGATTTGAATTATACAAGAGTTATGTCAAAACACATCCCTGATTAATTTTAAAGTGGTCATTTTTTCCTCAAGCTCATTAGATTAAATATAATTTCAAGTACTTGAAAGGGCAAAGAAACAGGTGATGGGACTCCTGATCCCTTATCAGATATCTAATAGTAGTTATTTTGGAGCTGCTTATGAATATGTATTTAACACCTCAGTTTGAGAGCTGTTTGAGCAATATATCTATTCATTCTGCTAAATAATCTTAAAACAGATTTTCATAAAGTTTTATGATTATTTCTCTCTGATAACATCAAAATTTCCAGTAGTTTCAAGTAATGAAATCATGTTTGTTTCTAATTCCATACAGCTTTGAGTATTTGAATCACTTTTGTGATGTAATAAAGCAAAAGCTAGCACTCAACATAATTTATTAATACCTAAAACCTGTCACTCTTGAAAACTTAAAGATCTTAATTCTCCTAAATGTAGCAAAAAAACAAAATGTTTTAAGAAGGAAAGGTAACTTTAGAATTCAAGTAAATAAAAGGCAAAGCAGCATTTCTAGAAAGCATGACTTTCATTCTTAAATTCACCAAATGTGAACATTTTAATCTGAGGTGTAGTATAAGATAAAGTTACATACAGCCTCTAGCTACATATATTCTAGAAGTCACCAATGTATCAAGTTACAATTGTGTTCTCTTTTTACAAGTAATTTGGGTTGTTTTGATGGAACTTCTCAGAGTAGCTGCTAACTTTCTTTTGATACCTTACCCAATGGGTAAAAGATATACATATTAATGTTCTGCAATTTATTTTTACTAAGAGTATTAGGTCCAAGATAATGAACAAGTCACCTTTAACATCGGAAATCCTGTGTTAATATTCAGAGCACTCACAAATGTCCTCAAAGCCACACTTGAAGAGGTATATTTGTTTACACACTCAAGTAAATATAACTTTCCATATATAAGTATTCTTGCACGTGTATATATTTGCATAGCCACACTTCTCACAGCAAGCCCGGTTCTGCACAACGCAGACTGACTTAGGAAGATAAGTGTTCTTTCCATATAACAAGCCATTTGATGAAAATTCCACAAATAGAATTTTAAATTGTGTGTGTGAGAGAGAGAGAGACAAAGAGACAAAAAGACCTTTACTCCCAGCGAACATCTCTTTTGAACAGTCCACAATAAATAAATATAGGACACAAACTTAACTTCCATTTTTTTTCAAACTTAAAGAGAGATAATCTCTTGTTTTTCAAAATTAAGAAATCAACCAGGACGTTTCTCAGGATGCTAAAGAAGAGCTCATCGTGTCCGGGTTCAGGGAGTTTTTATGGAAGAAGGTTGATTGTCCTGAGACCTCACAGAGGAAACGAAGTAGAGCTACCCTGGACCAGGCGCTAAGGAAACACTTTAAAATGAGATTTGTCAGGGAACAGCTGCTCGGGAAACGTGTTAAATCGACGGGCCCCTTCTACGGGGTCTGTTCATAGAGGAGTCGGCTTGAACTCCAGGAAGCGAGTACTGGAGTGAATTACACCGACTGGGGCGAGAAGCTCCCTGAAGCCCCGCGCTCAGCTCCGCGAGCCGGGAGCTCCTAAAAGGAGCTGCGCAGGTCGGAGAAGCTGCAGAGAACCCCGACCCTGGACTAGGATGTGAAGCCGGGACTGTGCCTGGTGTTGGAACTACGGCCAGGGCCGGGATGAGGGGAGACGGCAGGGCATGCAGGGGGAAGGGGCGGGGATGCACAACTGGGATGCGAGATTTGGGTGCGAGAGCAGGGTGCGGGGCCTATCAACTGCTGTGCGGCTGGTGCCGGGCGAGGACGAGCAGTTGCGCGGCTCCCGGACGCCAGCGAAGCTGTAGGGTCTGAGGCAGCATCTGGATACCCGACTGACTCCTGGAGTAGCGCACTTGTCAGTTTCCTTTGGCCCCACCCCGCGGAGTCCATCTAGCTCCCCAGTGTTTAACTAAGTCGTGACACCAACGCAAAATCCACGCCTAATTAAATTAATTAGGGATTCTTGTCAATCCTGGATTAATGGCCAAGAGCACAGGCGACCGAGGCTATCTGAAAACCCACACGGCCGAGGACCGGCCTTCTCTCCCGCCCCCCTCGGGTCCCCTGCGCTGCCCTCCCACTCCAGCCTCGGCCCGCCGGGACTCCAGCCTCAATCAATCTCAATCTCTCTCTCTCAATCTCTCTTTCTAAATCTCTCTCTCTTTCTCTCTCTCTCCTCTCTCTC